TTTGAAGACGTGATTTTATCTAGATAGACGCTAGCGCTTCATTTAGCGCGGGCGCTTAATTTTCGGAATTTTTTTTCATTACCGTATAGGTTACAAGAGCGCAATTATTTGTTTACATTTTACCGGCAAGTTTTTTACCCCAAGATGGTACTCAGAATAGAATCCTATACGGCTTCTGATTGGATGATACAGGATTGGAATTACATTTAATCGAAAGCTTATCCAATTAGGTTTAAAAATTGCAGAAAATCATATTCACATTTTACGAAGTATAGAAAATATCCTCCATTTCTGCACGTCGGAGCCATTAAAAATATGCCTTTTTCATTAAGCGAAAAAAATAGACGATCTTTTTCAACTGCATTTTAAGTCAATTTCTGCCGCATGACCCTATATATTTTTTTGGTTGTAATGCAACACTGGCATTTCGAGTAACAGGAACTGCAATCCGTTTTCCCTAGTTTGTGTAGTCTTTGAGAAAAAAAATACGGAACACCAGTGGTACCTTATGGAAAATGCATTACGAATAATTGCGCTCTTGTAACCTATAGAAAAAAGACATTTTTTTTTAATAATGCTTTGAAAAATGTTAAAAATAGTCATTTTGCTCGGGAAAAATGTGAAACAGCGAGAAATGGGGTCAAATGGACTTTTCATCAACGTGAATTCAAGCTATAGTCTGTTTCCTATTTGTGTTGATTTCCATATCTAAATCTAGGGTGGGCTCGAATGTCGACAAAGTATGAAGAGAATAGAACGATTTTGTGATATCTACTGTTTTTATGGGATAAAGCGTGTGTATATCTTGAATTTGAAGATTCATTTTGGTTTTTAACCATAATGATCGTGACTCAGTTGCTATTCTAGCAAAAAGCTAATTTGGTGAAAATTGACCAAAAGGGTCCCTAAGCAAACACCAACGATTTAGTTAAATTGCAAAGTAGAAAAATTAATCTTGGCATTGAATATTGTAGTCCAAGAATAGTTTTTCTTGCCAAAGTAGTAATATTATCATATTTTTAAAATTTGGAAAAACTATAGTCTGTTTCAAAAACGTGTTTTTTCAAGAAATGGTTTCATTTAAAGCCATTCTTCAAAATTCGATGTAGCTTTTCCATATCAGAACGGTTTTGTCGACACTATGATCAGTGCTGGATGACCTTTGAAAAATAAGGCCAGTAAATAAACTTTATCTTTGTGTCTTTTTGAACAGTACCGTATTTGGTGAAAAAATCAGTTCAAATTTTTGGCCCGATCGGCGGGCAAAAACTAATTTTAAAAATTCAGAGAGTGATCAGATAATGTTTTGAAGACGTGATTTTATCTAGATAGACGCTAGCGCTTCATTTAGCGCGGGCGCTTAATTTTCGGAATTTTTTTTCATTACCGTATAGGTTACAAGAGCGCAATTATTTGTTTACATTTTACCGGCAAGTTTTTTACCCCAAGATGGTACTCAGAATAGAATCCTATACGGCTTCTGATTGGATGATACAGGATTGGAATTACATTTAATCGAAAGCTTATCCAATTAGGTTTAAAAATTGCAGAAAATCATATTCACATTTTACGAAGTATAGAAAATATCCTCCATTTCTGCACGTCGGAGCCATTAAAAATATGCCTTTTTCATTAAGCGAAAAAAATAGACGATCTTTTTCAACTGCATTTTAAGTCAATTTCTGCCGCATGACCCTATATATTTTTTTGGTTGTAATGCAACACTGGCATTTCGAGTAACAGGAACTGCAATCCGTTTTTCCCTAGTTTGTGTAGTCTTTGAGAAAAAAAATACGGAACACCAGTGGTACCCTATGGAAAATGCATTACGAATAATTGCGCTCTTGTAACCGTATAGCAAACATGCCAAAATATCTATTGTCGTTTAAATATAAAACAAGTAATAGCTTTTCTAAAAAGCTTGCCGTTTTATAGCTTATTATGTTGAAGATTGATTTTTTTATTTGTAGCATCATCCATTCAAAATATGTCTCTACATATAAATTGTATTGGGGTGAAAATAAAGTGGAACATTGGAAAGGCCAATATGGTATTTTTAATAAATAGAGTTACAATTTTTTTTTTTTTCGTGGGAATTTTTATCCCTGAAAAGAGCTTAATTTTTAAATCACTTGTGTTTTGCCTGCACTAATTTCGGTGAACTTTTTTCATGAATAAATTTTTCAAAAGACATGTCATTTATTTTCTCTCTGTTTATATGTTTGTGTTTGAGAAAGAAAAGTGTAATAAATATCTTTCATTAATTGTCCAGTGAGATAAATCAACCAAAAACGTTTTAGAGTCCACTGAATTATAATTATTTCGGAACTAGTTGTCCCTATATCCTACTTGAGCACGTTCCATTAGTTCGTTTGGGCACATAGTTCCTGCGAAAAATATTTATAGAGTAAATTGGTTTAAAGTCGGTTATATAGGTCTTCTTATAAGTTTATTTTTTAGCTTTGTATCAATAAGATGATCATCCAAAGCTTTATCTGCCGAAACACTGAAAAATAATAGGGGTCCTATCAGGCAATGTAGGATGCGTTGCTTTATAGGGGTTTTATAATAACAAATGAGTGTTTGTCAAGATCTCGGTGCTTGTGGTGCATTTTTGTTCCTTAAGATGAGTGTTTGTCAACTTCTCGGTGCTTGTGGGAGCATTATTGTACATGTATTTTAAGATGAGTGACTGTCCAGATCTCGGTGCTTGCGGTGCATTATTGTTTCTCAAGATGAGTGACTGTCAAGATCTGGGTGCTTGTGGTGCATTATTGTTTCCCAAGATGAGTGATTGTCAAGATCTTGATGCTTGCGGTGCATTTTTGTTTTTCAAGATGAGTGACTGTCAAGATCTCGGAACTTGTGGTGCATTATTGTTTCCAAAGATGAGTGATTGTCAAGATCTTCGTGCTTGCGGTGCATTTTTGTTTCTCAAGTTGAGTGAGTGTCAAGATATCAGTGATTGTGGTGCATCATTGTATCTCATGATGAGTGACTGTCAAGATAAAAAAAAATGAAATGCCATTAGCTTATTTTGAGATCTTCAAACTATGATTTAGGATTGAAATTCATTCTAAAGCCCTTGATTTCAGAATCTTGTTGGATTCTGCAGGACAAATTTCAACTGCTACAATAAATATAATTGAACTTAAGGGTTTTCAACCAATTTATGAAAGGTTTGGAAGTCCAAGTTTTGTAAGCATTTCACATATATCAAACTAACCATTTTTTTTATTTCAATTTAAAGAAGGAGTTGTGCCAATTTTGAAATGTTGCACTTAAAATTGTCTTTCTTTTGTAGATGACTTACCAATAAGCCCATGTCTGAAATAAACATGACGGATAAAAAGAATAAACATGCCTGTGGTGGTTCTGTTTGAAATAATAAGAGGTGAGTACCGAAAAATATACCATTGTTTTTCCACATTAAAAATTGTGTGAGATTTTGTCACAAATTCTTTTAAATGTACACAAACCTATAGGTTTTTTTTTATTAAATATATTTTTTTTTATCATATCTAATCTCAAGTTTAAAAAAAGCACATGGTTGCTATCAGTAAATATTAAAAAAATTACAATATCATTGCACAGAGATTATTTGTTCACATATTACAGTAGTGTTCTTAATTTGAGCTGCTTAAGAATATTAACCAAGTTATGATAAAGATACATGTAATATAATATGTTTTTCTGTTGTAGATGCTATAAATACAAGTCACGAATGTGCAACAGAGACCACACTATAGAACTATTGTGCAAGATACCTAAAATATGCCTCTAAAATATCTGGGAATGTGTCTAGAAAAAGGACTAAAATTTTTAATAAAATTAAGTATTTAGTTTGTGTTTGTTTGAAATTGTACGATGCAAATGTGAGCAACTTGTAATATAATTAACGTTTTATGTCACAGACATATTTTATGTATGAACCAAATAGTTATAAGTATAACAAGATCCAGTCTATGAAGGTAAAAAATGTATGCCAACTGACACTACAATAAAGTTTAAGGTAATCTATGCCTGGTTTGGTTAATAAGTTGTGCTTGTTCATCTTGTCAAGTATTGTATCATAAACAACGGATTCAGAAGTGGGTGGTCTCTTTATCAGTATTACCAAAACAAAGGAAATGACTTATTTTCCACTAAATTATAAAATGAAGAGAAATATTAAAAGGGAAATGTTCGAACAGACAAAAATTTTCCAAATAACGTACTCTGCAACCGACTACATGTACATCAACCACCGACACATGACTACTCCCACTTAGTACATGTAAGTTTACGAAAGTTTTGTTACACTTAAAATGGCATTGATGGATATAATAAGGGGGTAATGATTTCAGCTGTTGACAGACCTTAATTTAACAGATCATCAACAAATTCAAATCCTATTCTCAACATTGACCACATTTCGAGTGTAAACTTGCATTAACCCTAAAACATTTTACCTGGACCAAAATCCCACCTGTTTCCCACATACACTGACCACAGTTCAACCAACATTTGACAGGTTTTCAAATACACTGACCACAGTTCAACCAACATTCGACAGGTTTATAACATACACTGACCACAATTCAACCAGCAGTCAACCTGATTTTAACATGCACTGACCATAGTTCAACCAGCATTCGACCTGATTTCAACATACACTGGCAACAGTGCAACCAGCATTCGACCTGATTTCAACATTCACTAACCACACTTCATCCAGCATTCGACCCGTTTCCAACATATACTGACCATATTTAGACCAAAATTCAACCTTTTTTCAACGTTGGAAAGTAAACGTTGAATCAACGTTATGTTTTCAACGTCATATCATTTTTCAATCCAACACTACTTTTCAACATTGATTCAACGTTGAAATCTGACGTTCATTCAATGTTGAATCAACGTTCTTGTGACTGCTGGGTTGAAATTATTGTTTAAAGACTTGGTTAATAAACGCAATGAAATGATTATTTAAAACAAAAGAAATTGCATTCATACTTTACCTTATTTCCGAATGGCAAAACTAATCCAGAAATCGCTGACTGTAACGATTTATATACCAAGAGCTAAAAAAATGACTGTAGTCCATGACCATTTAATTGACCAAAATATAACCGGGCATATTCCGGGAAAAAAATATTTGTTTCGTAACTTCAACATGTTCGAGTAAATTCGTATCACTACCCAAAACATTGTTATGCAAATACAAATAATGTTATTACATAATCCGGACACACATGTGACGGGGACAAGCTTTATGATTGATGACAATTGTAGCATAATACAAACTTTGGAACTTTTTACTGTTTATTATCTAGAAACCGGAACATTTTTTATGTAAAATCTGTTCTTGGAAAGTTCAAGGACTTAACCACAAGATGAAAATAGAATGGTACAAGTAGCTATTACATGTACTGTGAAAATATAGGGGCTTTTTGTTACAGGTGTGCATACTATTTATGTTACTATGTAACCCTGTGAAATTAATCATCACTTATTGCGGATATAAAGAGATTTATTATTAACAAAACGTTTTGTGAGTGCAAATATTACTCCTGATTATCTTCCTTAGATAATGGATCAGTTCTTTTTAACTTTGAATTTTGATTATTTTCTATCATGCAGATAAAACTAGTTATGTTTTAAGATTTATTAGAACTTATCAAACTTAATCAAATTGAGAAATGGTTATTTAAAAAAAAATGGAGAAATAGTTAAATGGTACTTTGACCAATAATGGCCGGTTTACTTTTGCAAATTGTGATTTGGATGGAGAGTTGTCTCATTATCACTCATATCGAATCTTCTTATATATATTGGTGTAAAATAAATGTGAAGTGACTTTTGGTTAGCGTTTAAATTACCTGTTTAATGATTCTGTTTAAAAAAAATAAGGTATCTAATTCGCTTTTAGTTACACTGTTAGTCTTTGAAACATACTGATGGTTAATTACTCCTTCATGTGCATGTCCGTTATACAGAATCCATAAAGGGGCACTTACAAACCAAATTAACCAGTTAAAGAGTCTATACAAAATAAAAGGTCAACTTCCTTTGGCGGATGTTTACAATAATGTTTTGTAATTCTTAAGGAAAATGCTTAAAATTTGACTTTTTACCAAATGGGAAGGATAAAAATTATCATGTTTTTCAAAGCATTTGGCCGACAACTTTAGAAAACAGGTAAGTTAAAAGTAATTTTACGTTAAAATTCAACCTACAAGGTGTTTCCTTTTATATGCGGACAAATCATGAACAATATCTTCTTGCATCTTAAATTTTGTTCTAAATCTTGTTGTTTTGAGATTTTTCGTTACTTTATATAGCAATTACGCTACGGTTACGCTTCCGATTTTCAAACTAAAGAGGTCAAAAGTTTTCAAAGAAGACATTGGTCATTTGTACACGGACAGAACCCTGAAAACATGTACAATTCACCCATATGCGCACAAATTGTCGATTCGACATAAGAATTGGCATATTGACATCTTTATTTCAAGTACCCAAACTTTACCATATGGGTAAACACAGGGTATAAATGTTGGTGAATACTACATGTGAAGGATAAACTAAAACCGTTTTAATTTATATTTTCAACCGCCTGTCCTCCCTTTTTTACAAAAAGTTGACGGCAGGTGAAATGCATTGACATTTTGTTTTCACAACACGGGATATAAATGTTGGTGATTACTACATGTGAAGGATAAACTAAAACCGTTTTATTTTGGTATTTTCAACCCCCTTCCCCCCTTTTCTACAAAAAGCGGACGACAGGTGAAATGCATTGACATTTAGTTTACACAAGACATACGCGATTAAACAAATTTGAATAAAAGTTCATTAAAATTGCTGATATTAGATAGCACTTTTAACACCTTATATATCAGAGCATTACTAAACATTTTTACTAACTTTAAAAGTGCTCTCTATTGGTCAATGTCCTAGCGGGGATTTATTTAAGCGTCCGATAGTCAGTTGGAATATTACGACTGGTTAATAATAATAATATATAAACAAATAGGCAATCCAAGACAAAACAAAGGCATCTGAGTCCTGCATGGTTGCAATATTTTTATCAAATACGAGCAGAAAATCAAAGATCAAGTCTTATAGGACAGAGAGTGAAAAAGCAAAGGAACGTTATACTATACAGCTCTATTTTGATCATTTCACATCAATTACAGTTGAGCCTTACACATGAAAACAATTGGAATGTATTACATGAAAATATATCAAATCTTTATCGTTTAAAGGATTTATATCCCTTACAATTTAAAATGATTGACAACCCACATCGACAGCTTGTTTTCCTTTTTCTTTGTTATCAGTATTACTCTAATGACAAGACATGTCATTCACCAAGATGTAAAACACAAAACTGTGAGATGCGCATTCATGATAAAAAAATAAGGAGGTCTCCTCAAGCAACGTAAGGAGTTAGACTCGTAAGCAGTCTTTTGGTATGACTGTCCATGATGTTAAAAAACTAAATCGTTGGGTGTGTTTTAGTTTATTTTAGTCTTTGATGCATATTTTTTTAATTATTGATTGTTTTTGACTTTTAACAAGCTTTCAGTAGATGCAAGTACTCTCAAATCAGAATTCTAAGTTAATTTGACCTGTTTGATACAATTTGTAATGCATTTATTTTTGTATTTAATGTTAACTTATTTTGTGTTATTTCTTGTCTTTCTATTTTTAATATATACCGCCTTTGATAAGTATTTAGTATGACGATAAATTTTCACTTCTGTTCTCGTACTATGAACAGCAAATCTATGTTTTTTTTTAAATATATTTCCGTACTCCATGTACTCCTTGCAATAACATCATTTTTGTTTACCTGCGTATGTTATTTTATTTAACGGCAGTCCAAGGTTATAGTTAAAGTTGAGAATGGAAATGGGAAACGTGCCAAGGAGACAACAACTCGACCAAAGAGCAGAAAACAGCCGTTGTCCACCAAGTGAGAACATCCTGCACCCGGAGGCGGGCTTCAGCTGGCACCTACAAAAAAGTGTTCTATGTCAGTGACGTTGGACGCAATATTAAACTCCAAAACATATAAATGAACTTAAACTAAAAAGCATACAAGACTAACAAACGTTAGGGGCTCCTGACTTGGGACAAGCGCACAAAAGTTGCTGAATTAAACATGTTTAGTGAGATCTCAACCCTCCTCCTGTACCTCTAGCCAATGTACAAAAAAGAAACACACATCGGTACGCAAAGTTAAATGTCTTTTTGATATTGTTTTACATGGTACCCCCATCAAAATAATTTTGTATTTACATTGTGTCATAGATCAATTATTCGTTCAGTGTATAGATATAAGAAGATGTTCAGTGTATGTTCAGTGTATGTTTACTTGTTTTTCTTGATATTTTTTTCTATTGAGTTACGCCATTTCGATTAATATGTTATAGTGTGTCATTCTATGTTCTGATGATACACTATCATTTAAGTTTAGGGTGAAGCTTCGCGCCTGTTAAAACGTATACATCTGCTGCATTTGTTAGAATCTGTCCTGAGTCAGGCACCTGTTGTTCAGTGATTCTCGTTTCTCGTTATTTTTTATACAGATAAGACTGTTGGTTTACCTGTTTGAATGGTTTTACACTAGTCCTTTCTTGGGACCCTTTATGGCTTGACCACTGTACCCCTATTTTGACATTTTTACATATAATAGATATATGAAGATGTGGTATGAGTGCCAATGAGACAACTCTCCATCAAAGTCACAATTTATAAAAGTAAACCATTATAGGTCGAGGTACGGCCTTCAACACGGAGCCTTGGCTCACACCGAACAGCAAGCTATAAAGGTCCCCAAAAATTACTAGTGTAAAACCATTCAAACGGGAAAACCAACGGTCTAATCTATATAAAAACGAGAAACGAGAAACACTTATGAACCACATAAACAGACGACAACCACTGAACATCAGATTCCTGACTTAGGACAGGTGCAAACAATTGCAGCGGGATTAAACGTTTTAATGGTACCAAACCTTCTCCCTTTTCTGAAACAATAGTATAACATCACAACATAGAAAGACACACTATAAAATATCAATGTCTGTTTGTTTTGTTCACACATCGTTGTCAATATAATGTAATTTGGTGCGACAGTCATACAGGTGAGAGGTTTAGCTAGCTATAAAACCATGTTTAATCCACCATTTTCTACATAAGAAAATGAATGTTCTAGAAATATGACAGTTGTTATCCATTCGTTTGATGTGTTTGAGCTTTTGATTTTGCCATTTGATTATAGAGTTTCCGTTTTGAATTTTCCTCGGAGTTCAGTATTTTTGTGATTTTACTTTTTGCTGTTAGACGTGAGCCTCGGCTCCGTGTTAAATACCGTACTTTGACCAATAATGGTTACTTTTGAAAATTGTCACTTGGATGGAGAGTTGTAACACTGGCACTCATACCATATCTTCTTATGTCTATTTAACTATATACATATCTCCATAAGCTCCCCCCACCCCTTAAATATGCTTCTGATTTTTAAGGGATAATACCATCAAAAGCATGAAACATTTCAGCTAATCATTAGGTTATGTATCAGAAATATTTTCAACTGGATTTGCCTTTTATTATTTTAACAGGATATAAAAGGCTTATACACAAGAAATGTATTCAAGGGTTGTTATAAAAGATGATAAATATCTTGTTTTCTTATTACATAATTAAAATTGTTGTATATGCAATTTCATTTGTTTGACGTATGATAAATACATTGTTAAGGATATTCGCTTGTCATGTTTTGGAATTTTTATCAGATTTTCGGAATCCCCTGGTCTTATCCATTTGAATGCCTTAAAATATTTTGCCCACTAACCCCCATTTTTCTTTTTATAAATCTTTTACATGTATAATTATAAGCCATCTTTAAAAGTCTTATAAAATCTTTGTTACTTTTTAATAGTTTTTGAGAACTTTAACTTGTCAATGATAAAGCTATGAAAAATCAAGAGAGAACATTTTCCCGCCCACATTTCAATGGCTAATATCTCGAAAACAAGCACACGGACCTATATTTTTTTCCGCTCTTTTTGTTCCTTTATAAATCCCCTATCAATATATACTAGTGTTATGAAAAGCTTTTTATTTTAAAACTGAGTAGCGAACTTCCTTAAACCTTTTAAATCTTCAAGGTTAATTTACATCCTACCTGTTTCAG